TAAACCACTGCAGAGTGCAATTTGTTTGCATGTAGTGTGCAGAGATATAAACAAAATGCAAATCTGTCCTTGCGTTATCCTTTATGATAATTCTGGATGAAAGATCTGTAGAGATGCATTACCACTGTTACGGGCTTGGGAGGTTTTGTTTACCGATTTCTTTCTCGTGGAAGTTAATTTCTTGCTTAGAAATATAAAAGTACACTAACTTAAAATAAGATCTTGGTGTTGTTTCCTGTAGTATAGCCAGGAAAAACAGTTACAATCTGTCTTCTTTAAAATCACATTCCTGGAAGATATTCTGGCAACCTGGATATTTAAACACATTTTCAAAGAAAAACAACTTCAGATCAATTAGGAATGATCGTATTTTCTTTCTGATAGCATAGAATTATACTTCACTGCAGACATTGCCTGGAGTTACGAAATAAGCAATAACCTGTGAAGGAGGCTATGAATTAGCTGCTGATGGAACATGAGGTGCATTATGTTCTAAAAAAGGAGGAATAGGTAATCACAGACACTGAGTAGTTCGCATAGGTTCTCAGTTAGATTTTTTTTTTTTTTTGGAAGGATAAAGGAAAGATTGCAAAGCACAAAATGTTCCAGAACAAAATTTAAATTTGGTTTCTTTGCCAAAAGTTGAGTTAGTATGGCTACTTTGGAAAGCTGGAGTCTGCATGGTCTTGCTAGTGGGCCTGAGAAGCTGCTTTGGTGGGGGGGGTTCACTTGCCTCACCTCTAAGAAGATCTCACTGGAACTGATACTGTCTGCCTGCAAATTTTCTTTGTCTCTTCTTGAAATCCAGTTGGTGTCACTGCTAGTCATTTAAATGAGTTATTGTTGAAATGGCTTCATTTTCACTCTGTGGGTGGCCTTATAATATCTTTGCCTCTTTATACACACTCTTAAGTATATTCGTTTTCTCAGTACCTTGGTTGTGTCTTACGGCCTAAACCAAACCACTTTCTCAGTCAGACTGCTTACTTGCTATGGAACCAACTGCTGGCAGGAGACAGGATCAAAAGCCAGAGAAATTGAGGATTGACTTTGCACCCCGACAAGATCTATGGGGTTATACTTCTTAGTGCAACTTAATGCTCTTTGGTGAGCTTGTTCGAACTGATTATCTGGCAGATCTTCAGAATCTCCTGAATCACTTTGCATTTCTCTAGTGTAGACGTACTTTAATGGATGCTTACTGTTGACTGGGTTTTGTATTATAACTGAATATTGGTTTTATAGTGGACATACATGCTATTGGTTAATTACTCCAAGGTCCAGAGTTTTCATTTTCCCAAAGACCTTATCCTGAAACATAGACCAATAAAGAAAAAGGTTAGCAATTGCCAGGGAAGCTTCCACCACAAAAGAATACTCAGCTTCCTTAGGTTGAATTGCTTACTCACAGATAGGTAAATAGTTATTGGCCATCTTCTGTAGGACAGTAGCTACAATGTGTGGGTATTGATGCTTTGTCATATGGAAGTTCTTGTTCCATTACATTTTCAATTCATTCCTTAATGGGGAAAATGGGGATTAGCCAGTCGTCACTGATGACATTACTGGGCTTTTGTACTGCAAGAAAATACATAGTCATCTTGTGATGCTACTAAACTGTACAATATATGTTTTTTATATATATATATGCGTACCAAAATACATAGTCATCTTCTGATGCAGTATGACCAAGCCAAAAGCCAATTAAAAGCTTGAAATTAAGGTCTGAAGATCCTAGTTTTTTTTTGAATTATGGAAAGTCATGAGAGCAGTGTCTAGACAGAAGGGAGCTGTTTAACTGAGCCTCCATGCATGTGCTCAGAAATGACAGGTATGTTCTATGATAAGCTGAAAAAAATGATAACCTTAAAAATGGTCATAACCAATCTGAGATGTGAATATAAGACTTCATATGAGACAAGCATGAATGCAGATCTAGTTGAAGATGCACAGTCTGAGTTGATTCATACTTCTATATTGTTGTACAGTGGGCCACTTTCAGTCTAGCTGGCTAACTTATGAGAAACTTGGAGAGTTTGCACTGCAGAGTTCACTTAAAGATATCTATTGGCAAACAAGACAAGGAATTGGATCCAGCTCTGTATTTCTTTATTTTAAATGCTTCAGTGATTGTTCTGTAAAATTTGATTAACCCTCTGGAAAGTCTGCAGAAATCTCTTTTCAAATTAGAAAAGATTTATTGAGCGAAAGACCTAACTTAAAACCCCAGTCGGTCATTTTGTAATATAAAATTCATTTCAATTGGAATTTTATAGTAATTTCAGATTAAAAAAAAACCCAAACCTGTCTTTCTGGCATGCATGACATTCTGGTATGATGATGTGAATGTATAAATTTTGTCAGTGACAAAATTGAAGGTCATATTGAGAAGAGCAGAAGGAGATTTTGACAGAAGCCACAGAAAGCAACAAGTCTTTTGCTGTGTACATGTTTGCTGGTTATTTCTTTAATGAGGTATTTTGTACCTGCCAGGCTTCAGCAGTCTGGCTGCAGAAAATGAGGTTATGTTTGTTCCAGGGTTTTCTGAAACCTCATGATTTTGAAGTTGCTCTCAGAGCATGATTCTTACGCAAGATTTGAGTTTTGTGGCAAAACTTGGATCCGTGCAGCACAAATACTGGAAGCTCACTTTGTTCTTCTAATGTTTAAAGTGTTTTAAAATGTTATTTCTTTAAAAAGCTGCATTGGCTAGGGTTGGAATACAGCCTTCGGGCAAACAATCAGAACATAAGCGCACAGGCTTCCCTTCTATTTGCTTCAAAGCCTTAGTTTAAGATTTTGCTGAATATAATGCTGCATGGCTAAATAAAATTTTGTTTAGGAGATCCTTTATCTCTAAAGAAGGAGGTCAGCTTGCTGTTGCAGAGTCACTACTCATTGACTAAAGTGACAAATCCTTGTGTGTTCTTGGCAGAATCATTATAATGCTGAAATTGTAGCGCTTAAGACCTTCTGCAAGAGATCACATCAAACTCTGCTGTAGTTAGGTTTCAACAGTGTGTGTTACAGGTAGTTGCTTATTTTGTCTTTGATTTCAAAAACAGAAGAAAGATCAAAGAAGGTACAGTTTGAGAGAACCATGTAGCATGGAGTTTGGCATACTGTTGAAACTGGATCACAATAAAATGGTTTTAAAGTATTTCCAGGTGAATAAACCTTAATGAAGAGGGCAAGTAAGCAGCACTTACATATGTAAGAATTTTTGCATACATAAATACGTCATTGTATTCAGAAGGGTTTGTGTTAAAATTTAGAAGATTTGATCTTCTGAAAAGAGCAGCACTTCTGCAAAGTTAACAAAATGGGCAGAAATGTGATGGCTAACTGCCAGACAAGAAGCACTACGGTACTGTAATTCCCAAGTTCAAAATGAATGTTTATTTAAATGAGAATTTGTGTTACAGAAGATTTGTTTGACCATTGTATATTTACGCTTTCATCAGTGAGAATCTGTTGTAATTGATGTATGCGCTGGGTGGGTAGTTGAGTTTTTCTCCAGGTGATTTGCTTTTTATATCCAGTTTGTACTTGGTTTGAATATTTACTGAATGAAAGGTATTTAGTAAGGATCCTACAGTCAAATAATTCATTCTAATTCATGTAGCTTTAAGGCAATGCAGCATAAAGCCAGTTTTCATGCGGTGTTCTTGAATTCTTTGAAGAGAGCAGTCCTCTGCTCTGTGCTGGACAGGTGACAATGGATTTCCTCTTGCTCGGTTCTTTTTTTTTTGTTCTGTAGTGTAATGTTATTTAAAAAACAAAAGGTTTGGTTGCATTTAGGTCAGTTATTAAAATATTGCGGGTCATTTCCTTTGACAGAACATTTCTATTGTGTTATACCAATGACATTAGGAGGAAAGGTTATTCCCACTTGTCTGGCTGATATCAATACGTACTGGCATATTACATCCTCTGGCTTTCTGGAAATGCTTTATTTCAGCAGCAGCTTGGGAACAGGAAATTTAAGGTTATACTCTGTCTGGTTTTAGACTGCATGATGCAAAATGTGTTTCCTAGAAGACGCTGTCTACCTGACAAATTCTGTAGATTTGGATAAGCTTAAATGGGTCAAGACGGGATTAGATTTTTACAAGCTGTAGATGCAGACAAGGCAGAACAAGGCTTTTAGTCTCTTGGTAGTATGTATTTGAGGAACTTAGATGAATCGCATTAGTATCTCAGCCATTCAACAATTACTCCAGAATGTAGTTTACTTTTTAAGATATGGAAGTGATAATATTCTCATTTTATAAGTGTTCTTACTGTCTAGAAGGAAGAAAAAAAAAACCCAACCCCAAACCAGTGCTTCTACTTCAAGCCATCATCAAATGTAAAGTCTGTGACACTGTGGTAGCTTCTAAGGACAGAGGTTTAAGGAGTACAGTTTATTCCTGTAACTGTTCATTGAACTGTTCATTCATCCATGTAAAACAAAGCCAATTGTGATCAGCAGTTATGTCCTGTTGTGCTTTTTAAGCTGAGCCTGTCAGTCTTGGGTGAGTCTGTAAATTCTGTAAATATCAGGTTCTTTTCAAATCTGTACTCAGGGGCAAGTGTTCCCCTAAGTGCTCCATCCGCATTCTAAGATCGTAAGTTTTTCTTTTTAGCAAAGCAAGAACAATGTCTGTGTTTCTGAGGAATGGGATCACCACCTTCCAGACCTCTTGTTTCTCCCAACCATTTTCATGTGACAGAAATGTATGTTTTTCATCGTAATCACAGCAATGAGTGATGAGTAGACAGTTAATGCAGCACTGTCAGCCACAGTCATTCAAAAATCATGAATTGTGTTGCTGAAAGTCATGACCTGGTTTCCTTCCAAAGCATGATATAAACTTTGCATTTAATATTATGGTTTATTTTGTTTGTCACAAACCTTCCATGTGCATACATGCCTTTAGTATCAGTATGGAAGGAGGAGTGCTTGTCTTTCTATTGCTGTAGACAATTTTGGTCTCTGTTCTTTTCCAATTCAACAGAATTTAGCTTCTTGGAATCCTTCAAACCCTGAGTGTCTCCTCCTTGTTGTGAAAGAACTCGTGCAGCAGTATCACCAATTTCAATGCAGCCGATTACGTGAGAGCTCTCGTCTCATGTTCGAATATCAAACTTTACTTGAAGAGCCCCAGTATGGAGAAAACATGGAAATCTATGCTGGCAAGAAGAACAACTGGGTAAGTTATTCAGAGTATTTCTGCCAAAGTGCTTTTAGTGTCACTTAATACAGCTCTTATCTTGCTAAACTTGAGTTGTTTCTGTGAATCTCCATGCCTTGTTCCAAATGGAGAAAACTTCTATTTGACTTCAGCTCACTTTCTATGTTCCTGTTTTGTACATTGTTGTCATTCCACTGCCTTGGTTGGACCAGATTTCCAGGTGAGTAACTTTATCAGCCTGGTGTTAGTTCATCTGAGTTATAGACAAAAACTATGAAAACTGTTGAATGGCCTGTGCAGTATTTACAGGGCACAGTGTAGTGTTATTTGGAAGTTTGAGTTAGCTCTGAAGATTTGAGAGGCAGAATAGCAGTGTTGGTATGATGCCCTGTCCTAGTCAGTAAAGGTAGGATGTATTAGGGTGTGGTGCCATATTACAGTTGAGTTGCTGCAGCTGCCTGTGTCCCTCTGGCATTTGTTTAAGCTAAGTTGTTTCAGGAACTTAAACTGGAGAGGAAAAAAAAACCCAAACACCAAAATTTCTGCAGAAGGACAGTAAGAGGTGACATGGGGTTAGAGCAGTGACCTTGTAAGGCCATGTCTTTGTACAGCAGTTAGACATTAAACGGGCTTATCTGTTTCCTGAAGTTGTATCCTTTGCCTTAGGAAATGTGCTGTGCTGCATAGAAATGCTCCACGTATACCACCTCATCCTCCTAAAATGAGGCTATTGGCAGTGTAGACATTTTGGTTTGTGGGTGGTTTATTTTTTAGGTTTTTAAAATGGATCTCTGCCACAGAATAAGCTTTACAAAAATCAGGTTTTTTGCATTGGTAATATGTATTTATCATGGGAAGCTTGGAGTCAGATATATCAGGAAATACTCAGTTGTGTTTATGCTGAACACGTCCCCCTCTTACTTTCATCAACAGCATACTCTCAGGATATACTGGCCTTCAGAAACAGCATCTGCTGAAATAGAAAACTGATGAAAATTCAGCATTCCTGTTATCAGGCCCTAAAATTCAGCTTTATGTCACTTTAATCATCCTTAAGTTACAGGTGACACAAGGATGTTTACAACTCTCAGTACTGTTTTTCTTTTCTTAGACAAGTCACATAGGCTTTTTATTTTAAGCCAAGTAAAATTTTCATCAGAGAATTTCAGATTTCTTATGTTCATAGATCAGAATATTTCATTAATTTGTTCTTAAATGTTGTTCTCTATAGCTCCCATCACAAACAACTTGCCACATCTGTAAATATCATCAGACTGGTTTATTGAAATGCAAAAGACTTCCTGAACTGTAGTGAGATTTTTGTCACAGTTTTTGGCAGCTGTCAAAATTCCACTCAAGACTGTAGAAAACTATGGGTGTTTTCCTTTTTTTTTAGTAGGAAAGCAGTATCTACTTGAGTCTTTTAAGTCTTTCCTCAGTCTTTGTTTGGGGACTGAATAAACAAATTATTTTTTTTCACATTTGAAATGCTGTCTTAGTTAAAAATATTCCCATAAAATAAATCTTAAATACATTTTGGGATAAATCCTTTAAATCACTGCAGAGCTATTTGAGGTTTCTGTAGCGTGTGCTTTGTTTTCAAAGTTTATGCTCTCTATCAAGAAAAGATTTGAGAGCCTTGTTTGGAGATTCTATGAACCTGGTGTATACATGACAGAGGCTTGTTTATGAGTGTCCTAAAACTCAAAACTATGAAACTAGCTTGTGTTCTTTTTCCTGTTCTTTACAACTGTTTTGTTAGTCTTGATTATCAGGGCAGCAGGAGTGTTTATGTGAAAAATGAGATAAACTGCATGTTACCTCCTTTTCCTGGAAGTCATTGAGAATCACGTTATTGCCATCTCTCAGGGATCAATAGTAGCTCACCAGGCTCATGAAGTTATCATCTATAAGTGAACCTTGCACTGTGTTATAAAAGCAATCATTATAAGTGCATGAGTTAAAAAGCTTTGAAGAGGAGGCCTCAATTCAGTGCTGTGTCCCAAAATGGAACAGAAATTTTCTCTTATGCATTTATTCCAGAATCTTCAATTTTGTGAAGTGTCTCCAAGATCTATGACAAATAGACAAACCATGATCTTAAGGCCCTTTCCCACCCTCATTTTCTATGATTCTATGATTATCTAGCTCAGCAGCTTCATGTTGGCAGAGTACTGACTGGTACAGATGCCCGCTAGCTCTCTAATCTCTCAGTGCTGTGGCCAGAAATTGATTTGACTCTACCTGATGGCTGTGACCAGGCGGTTGGATTTGGGTAGGCGAGCACCATGGACAGGGACTGCTCCCTGCCCCTCCAGAACACTTTGAGAATCGATGCTCTGCAAAATAATCATGGTTGAATGACAAAAGGATGTAGTCTGTGAGTCCTTATTTACTCCCATGTCTTGGAGCAGCTGTTTTGATCAGAGGCCATTCATCTGTTCAGTGGCAATCCCTGTTCATCAGACTTGTTTTTTTACCAGAAATAACTGTCTGGATTTTATGGCCAATGTCCTGTGGCATTTTTTGGAAGCTAAATCCAGACAAGAAGCACTGTCTATAATATCAGTTTCACTCTGAATGAAAAGCAAGTGCCCTGGCTGTCATCAGAGCAGTCTTTGTGTTATACATGCACAAGAAGGCGGTGATTTTCCTGCATGCATAAATAATACCGCTTCAGAAAGTTGGCATCTATCCTCACAAGTAGTATCATCATGAAGTCTGGCTTTAATATGTGTTCACTTTCTGTTGCATAGTTAGTATGTTCAGGAAACAGTGCAGTAGTACATATGTGTTACTGTGGGAGAACGGATACTGCATATTCATACACCTTTGATTTGTCCCCTTGCCTGTTAAAACGAAGTACTATGTTTTAAAAGTTGTATGTCATCATGTAACTAAGTAAGGGGTGTGTGCAAAGACAGGGCAGTGTGAAAACTGAAAACAAGTTTTGCTGCCTTGTGTCAAGATATCCCAATTTTCTATACTTAACTATGCACTTACTGTTTAATGCTTTTTGTCCGACTAATTCAATGTGACAGAAATAACTGCTATATGGCTGTTTTATTGAATAAAAAACCAGAGATGAACAAAAAATTAATATAGCGGAAATCAGGCAGGCATTTGTTTTTCAAAAAGAGCCAACTTCATTGCTTCATAGCCAGGTGGACAAAGTCTGGTGTTCGGGAAGTGTATGTAACAGAAAGGAAATCCTTTCCACTTCCTTTGCATACGCTTTATGCATAAATAAAGAGCAATGTGTAGGGGACGCCTGGCAAATTCTTAGTAAGCTGTTGCCTAGGTGTTAAGAGTCACATAATTCTGAAAAATAAATTATAAAACCTGCTACTTCAGTTCTTTCCTCTGTGTTTATTCAGAGGGCGCTTGTGGTGCAGTGTCACATTAGTCATTCCAGATTCACTTGGGAAGATGCCTCTCTCTCATGCATATGCTCTTTTAAATTTGTCAGGTTTTTAGCTTTGTTTTCAGACTGTTTGCATGTCTTGCCAGGCTTTTGTCCGGAAATGAGTACAGCCAAGACGGGTCTCTATTTAGGGCCTAACAAACCATAGTCTGATTTTGTTGTATTCTGACTACTTTTTGATGTTGACTTACTGGCAGTGATGTTTTAGGGTTTCTAAGGTGTTTTCTCATAACATCTGTGAAATCTGTAAATCATTTTCTCCATCTTCAGTAATTCCAGTCAGAAATGTTCTAAATGTAAACCCTTCTGCTTGGTGTGAGTGCTCACATTTTTCTAGTTTCATACTCTGAACATTCAGTTTGCTGTTCTGTCTTAGACACCAGGTCTCATTAGTGTTACCTTTCTTCCACAGACTGGAGAATTCTCAGCTCGCTTCCTCTTGAAGTTGCCTGTAGATTTCAGTAACATTCCTACCTACCTGCTCAAGGTAAAGTTAATGTCTAAGTTGAGAGTGCTTGTGAGAGAGTATGAGTTCTGGAAATGTTCTTAGTAAAATTTTCTGCCCTCCTCCTTTCCAGGACTTTGAAAGTCCACCATTTCTAAACCTGATTGGTTTATGTTTTGGAAAGGTGATGTTAGGCCACACTGGTTTTTCACATGCCGTTTTACCAGGTAGTAGATATACACCTATATCACTCTAAAGCACCTTGCAGGATTAGGGTTGTTGTAGGAGATGCTGTGCAATGCAAATGTTCTGGGTTTTTAGACAATATTGTAAGTAGCAAACTCTTGACTAAATCCAAGGTATTATCTTGGGGAGCAAATTTAAATATTTACAGATAAACTCTTTTGTATTAGTCTGTGGAATTTCATGTTATGTAAGTGTTGTTTTTTAATGAGCAGTCCCAGTTTTACCAGTAGTCTTAATAGTAGAAGCAGAATAGCAAACTAAAAATACCATTTCTTATTAGGGAATGAAAGCAAATACCTGATGACAAGAATTGAGGGTTTTGATGTTTACTTTGTTTCTGAACACTAATTTGACCAGATACTTTAGAAAGTAGGACTATAGAGTATTGATTTGAATTGGAAAAAAGTATTTTTACCAAAAAAAAGCCCAGACCCAACAAACAAACAAACCCAAAACAAACTTGTGACAAACTACCAGTATGGAAGAATTTGAAATGAGTGGTCTTCACAGCAGGGGACAGTCAGTCTTTCAAGCCATTGCTGTGGAAGCCCATTGTAAAGTCAGTGTTATTATGTTCAGAGAAGCAGTGAAAGATCAGGGTTGTCCCTGTTATCGTTACTGTTGAATGAAGTGCTGAACTTCTACTGCAGACAAAGTTTGAGTTACCTGATGTTACCAGCACCCATCTTTCCTCTGAACTGTACGCCTGCCTCTTAATCATCTTTTTACTTTTAAATATTTGGGAAGAACAGCTACTTAATGTTGAGTAACTTTTTTATGTTAAGATGAAAACGTCAGTGTGGATTCCATTACCTCCTCTTCATCTTATTGTTACAACAGTCTTCAACTATTGTTAGATCACAATTGCAGTTTCTCCAAATAAGATGTTTCAAGCTTAGAACCGTGAAACTAAAAGTGGGCACAACTATGATCTACCTGAAATTTTTGGTTGTAGTCTGAGATTGGTATCCTGTGATCTCTTTGCTTTCTGTAGACTGCTGTTTGAGTAATGAGCTGCTCCTAACTTTCCCCAATACATCCGAATATTTTCAGTTTGTTCTGTGTTCATCAGGACATTCTCTTCTCACTTGAACATTTCCAGTCAGATGTAAGGTGGTTGGCAAAGGCCTTTTCAGGAAGGGCGGTGTTGAGAAGCAGGGTGCAGCAGCAGCTCGCCTGGACTGTAGGATAGCTGTGATTTGCTTCTGAAAGACTGGTAAAAAAAAGACTGAGAACATCTAATGCAAACTATGGAGTTCTGGCAAGAGCAGGCAGCAAGTACCTTGTTTTCCAGGAACGCTTTTAAATTGGTTGGGAATTTCAGGACAAGTACATACCCAGTATGCTTAACAGCTTCAGTCACAGGACTGTCTTATACCTCTGTTTAGTCTCTGAGGAAACTGTGTAACTTGGAGGTTGGAACGTGGTGAATGAATTCATGTAGCATGTAAGACCCCTGTGATAAAAACAGATGCTACTTTTGATTCTAAAGAGTAACATTTTAAGGCGTGACAGCATATTCCTCTTCAGCATAATGCAATGTTCACTGAATATCTTCCACCTTCTCTAAAGAAGGTTGGTATACTGCGGATAAACCAGCAGTGCGCCACAACTTCACCCTGAGTACTGAATGATTCAATAGTCTGAAGAAAAATGTGTATTTATTTTGCTTGCATATGTAGATGGTGTGATGTGAAGAGGCATGCACAGAAGGTAGCAGAATCAGTTTCCAAGGCTTGCTTTATTTTCACATTTCTAAAACCTTAATGTCTAAGATTTGGGGGTTTAAAATTAATGTATTTTTGTACATAACAGCCTTATAACAGCTGATCCTTCTTGATGGGCAGTGTATTGATGAAATCCTGAGGTTTCTTACACAGACTTCTTCTAGGCAAGCAGATGTATTAACTGTCTGTGGTAGGAGAATGATACGTAGTCTGAATGAGTATCCACAGGAGAAGAAATACTGTTTTATTCCAGTAGTGTTTGATGATAACGGAAGAATGGTTTGACTCAGGCTCCAGCATGAATTATGACAGTGTGTGTTCTGCAGCAGGCATGGATCTTTTACCCTTGCTGCGTTTAGCTCCTTCTATTCTGACATTATCAGCCATACAAATGTCATCTCTTAAGGCAGCAATATAAAGGCAGATAGAGTTGGAGCTACTCTGTTGTGGCTGAAATAATTATTCTCTGACTGCTCCAAATTTATAAAGCTATTAAAAAAAACTAAGCTATGTCTTTTTTTTTTTTTTTTCTGATGAGACTTTTGACATAAATAGTTCTTTGATTTGTTGCAATAAAATAGGAGTTGATTTTCCATCATGCCTGCCAGTTGGCTTCAGTGCTACCTGCTGGATTATGGTACATGATAGAGCATCTATTGATTGATGCGGTGGAAATAATTGTTAATGTATTACCCTGAAAGGTGGAGGAGCAGTCAGTAATAGAAGGCTGTTAGTGTATTAACAGCTTAATGTTTAACTGCAGAATTTAATGTGTTTGAGTTATGTTCTAGTCTGTAGCCAGCCTTACAGCTTCTCTGTGACAGTTTGCAAAGTTCAAACCTGTGTTGTACTTTCTCTGCTATCTTCTTTTTTGATGTTTAATTAATACTACTTGTATTAAAATCTGGTGAAATATTTAAAGACCATCATTTTTGCCTCATCAGTTACTCCTAGTACCCCAATGATTTGTAACTCTCTTCTGAAATGTTTATTGGTGGCAGTAGGTAAACACAAGCATGGCTGGAAAGCCTTGTGTAGTTTGCCAGTATTCAGGTTTAAGGATGTAAGCTGTCAGGGCAGTCTAAGTGTTACAAAATCTTTGGAGTTGTTGAGAATCAAACCCCAGAATCAGAAGATCTTACTCTGTCAAATTTGCACTGATGGTGGTGAGAGTATTCTTCTTTCCCTATAAAGAATAACGATTTAAGGCATAGGATGAGTTGGGTTTTTATACTGGAGGGGCAGATTTAACCAGGTCATTTTAAAGGTATTCACTGTACTAGATTTAAAATTCAGTTCAAGTGTATGCATGTTAAGGAAAATAGCTGAGCACATAAAGAAGAGCAAGAATGATTAAAAGAGCAATGCATAACACACTGTCTCTTCCTCTGAATTCTGAAGTTCTAGTAAAAGTTCTTCACTTCTGCATTTGGAAACATAATACCACCTGCAGCAGATAAATCTTTTTTCCTGAGTATTCTTGGCACATTGCTTCACATTTGCAAGAAAAAAGTACCATTCTTTCTTTTCCATGCTAAAGAACTGTTCAGAAAGAAAATGTTGATTTACACTGAAAAAGCACATTTAGGAAAAGACGCCCTTTCATTACGCTTTCTTTTACAGAGGTATACTTTAATACAAAGGTTTTGAATTTAACGTGGACCTTTTCATCCACTTCTGCATTGTTTTCTAGTGCGAATCATATCCATTACATTTTAATTCTTGACATAACTGCAGAATCAAGCTGGTGGCTCAAACTACTTCAAGGTTCATTGTTGGTAAGCCTTTCATTAAGGTTCTCTTTTTGATAAAAATGGAGCTTTGGCTTGCTCAGGAAAATCCTTATATCTCTATCCTGTTTACTATCGTGCTTTCCCTTTCCCTTTCTTGCAGTTGGATTTTTAATCACATTATTTTTGGCTTAAATTCTTTTATGTTGGTTGCAATATTTTTAATTTTTGCCACTATTTCATAAATGGAAGCATTCTCTGTACATACAGGTTTGGAGAGTCAGTCCGTAGTTCACACTTTACAGGTACTATGTGTGCCACAGCAGTGATGGAGCGGATAGACTTAGCATCTAAAATGCCTCATCCAAATCATTCTTTGTGGTTTTGGTCAGATGCAGGAACATGTGTTATCATAATGATAATTCATTAAAAGTCTCCAGCTCAGTAATATACAAATTATACTGGGTTATGTGACTGTAGTATGATTACACAGTATGAGTGAACTTTAGCATATGTTGCCGGTGATGCTGTTGAAAGCAAGACATTTAGGTGTTTTTCTTTTATTTCCATAGGGTTTTGAGGTTTTGGCTAAGAAAGATGTTCTGTGATTACCACCACCTTCTTGTATGTAATTTTTAAAGTATTCATTTTCCTTAAGTATCTGCTTCTTCTGCCCTGGTGAACAGCTAGTATCTGGACCAATTTATCTATGATGCTGTGAGCAGCAGGCTTCCAATGACTTTTTTACTGTTCAAGAGTAAAGGAAATACAGAAAGCAGACCTAATTGCTTTTTGTAGATGATTTTCGTTTTTTTTTTAATCTTTAAATCTATTTTTCATGAGTTTTTTGTGTTGACCATTTCATTTAGTGCGTATCTTTTAGAACTGAAACAAATAAGAGACGTTGTCTAGACACATTGCCAGGGGCCAAACAGTTGTGTGTAAGACTGTCAGTGGAAAAGGTTTATCAAGTCCAAATTGAAAGATAAGAACATATTTGTGTTTTTCCTTACTGTGATTTCATCATTTGGAAGTCTGTTAAAAGACTTCAGTGCAACCTTTGCTTATGACGTAGACCAGATTCCAAGTACTGTGAAAAGATTGCAGTACTTGTGTGTGTATGAGTAATCAGCTATAGTAGAGAACAAACAGAAGTTAAGTCATAGTATTCAGGGTCAAACAAGATTTATATTTTTTTCCCCAGGCTGGTTTCTTTACTATTGTGATTTAGCAGTTTGATTTATTTGACAGCTTTTAAGGTTCGTGTTAAATTACTCCAAATACCAAAACACAAACATGCTTGTATAAAAAGTAGTACTACGTCTGTTCAATTAAAAAA